AGGCAGCGCGGCGGCCGCGCCGGGGGGCGGCGGGGGCACCGGGCCCCCAATCGACGCTGAGACGCTCATCTTGACACTGGGGCCGCCAAGCGGCGGGGCCGGCGCTCCTCCGGCATCCGCAACCACCGCTCAGCCACGACCCGCAGAGCGCCTACAGCCCAAACACCCGCCGCCGGAGCGGCAGCACTGCTCTACCCCACCTCCGGCCGTCGCCGTCGCCGCCGCCGCTGGCTAAGGAAGAGCCATATTACCGCAGTGCAACCCCCACCGCCCCGCCGAGACCTGGCCTGCTCATTGGTTCAGCTCCCACAGGGGCGGGACGCAACCCAGGCAGGAGACGCGCTATTGGGCAGAAGTCTGTCCGTCGCCTCCGGAATGGAATTGGGTGGAGGGACCCAAGGATGGCCTAAATTGCGTCTGTCAAACCGGGGTGAGACCTGGGGCGTTCGCTTCTTTTTTCCCTAAGTCTAATTGGTTTTTTCACTACCACAGGGCGGGGCCTCATGATGGAGCCGCAAAGGCCATTGCTCTAGGTCCCTGTCACTTGTCAGTAAAAGGAAAGAGAGGCGGGGCCTGATTAGGTAGAGAGTGCGCCCGGCTCCGGTGTCACGTGCAGGAGGCAAGAGAGTCACCTGATTAGTGAGACTCAGTCTTCGGAGCCACTTCCGCCCAAACCTAGTTGCCATGGTAACCGGCCTCCCGAAGAGGGCTGGGACGCGGCGCTGGCTGGGTTGCGTTGGCTGCTCTGCAGTTATTTGCAGGCTCCCTAAACACTCTTTTCCTGAGGTGCTGCCGACAACGTGCGGGGATTGAAAAGAAAGACCTTCTGGTTTGGCAGAAAAGCTCCACGCAGGATGCAGTAAGACCAGAAACCCGTCGGGCAGTCCCACCAGCTCTTTCATGACCATCTCGAACCCACAGGTCCATGCCCTCCTTGCACGCCACTAACTAGCGTGCTGAGCTACAAGGTGTGCCAGACTCTCAGGAGTCTGTTTATCTCCACCAAGGGGTTGCTTATGCTGTCCCTAGAAAGGCTTTGCTACTTTTCTCCTAATGCTTACCCATCAAATCTCATTTGGAGCTGGAATCCCTTCTTCCAAAAGGCTTCTCTGATTCCTTCTGGGACCCTGATTAGGAATCGCCTCCACTGTATTCCTGATAATTCTATTGCATTGTTTTTTAATGTGTGTAATAGACACACACACGTACTGAATTCCTCCAGAAAAAGGATCTTGTCAGATTCCTAGTGTCTGACAGATAATCTAGATGTTTTTTGTTTTTGAAGTGAAGGCCACCTCTTCCATGAAGACTTCCTTGATCACAATAATAGCATCTATAGGAATTGCGTCTATAATAAATAACATTGAGTCATTCTACAGAATATTGATCTGCCTTTACACTTCTCCATGCCCCACGCCCCCCACTGTGAATTTCTCCACCACCTGGACTTATGTAGCTCAAAGAACAGAGTGTTTTAGAGTCAAAAACAACAGGAATCAAGCACTTCTGGAATCTTGGCTCTGCTACCTTCTAACTATGTGCTCCTAGGTAAGCCAGCTCCCCTCTCAGCTTTAGTTTTCCCATCTATAAATAGTAATAGGATGGCTGTAGGGATTAAGTAAGACGACATATGTAAAGTGGCTAGTTCAAGACCTTGCATATAATTGCACTAAAATTATTGTAATGAAAGGTAAGCATACTATCTTTCCAGGGTGTTCAGAAGTATAAAGATACTTTGGATCTGGCCCCAGAGTTGGCTAACATGAATGGCACACTGTCTCCTATTCTGAAACAGGGTGGTTCCTCATGGCTAGAGCCTAGGGTGTGTGGTCAGGTGTTTGTTGAGAAGGGAATAGCTGGGAAATCCCAAATCCCATCAGGTTCAACTCATGTAGTGCCATAATCTGGTAAAATTTCACGGAAAACACTTTTCTGCTTTCAAGCTGTATTAGTTTCCTGAGGCTTTTGTGTCAAACTATCACAAACTGGATAGCCTAAAACAACAGAAATTTATTCTTTCACACCTCTAGAAGCCAGAAGCCCAAAACAAAGGTGTCGTTAGGCAGGGCTGCATTCTCTCAGAAGGCTCTAAGGGAGAATCCTTCCTTGGTTGGCTCCATGTAGTCCTTGGCCTGTGGCTGCATAACTCTAATCTCTCTCTACCTTCATCTTCACATGCTTTCTCTCCTACTTCCTGTGTCTTTTTTTCTTTCTTTCTTATAAGGACACTTGTCTTTGAATTTCAGGTCCACCCAGATAATGCTGATCTCATTCTGAGATCCTTAATTGCAAAGACCCTTTTATCCAAGTAAGGTGATGTTCACAATTTCCAGGGGCTAGAGTATGGCCTCATTTGGCAGAGTGAGAGCCCCAGGGGCATCATTCAACCCACTACCCAAGTTAAGAAAATGGGCCTGTAGAGATAGAACTCAGAATCACTTATTCTTCTTTTGAGGGTCAATTCTGAATATTAGCTAACTTCATTACTTCATTCATTCAACAAATACTCATTGAAGGCTTCCCTGTGTCAAGCCCTTTGCTAGGTGCTGGGAAATCAGACTCAGACACATTCCCAGAAGAGCTGTCCTCCTTATAAAGGAGTCCCATGGTAAACAATGAGTGATAATCCAGTTGCTGGGTACTGGGTCTAAGGGAAGTCCAGGGACAGTGGGAGCCAAAGAAAACAGATTTCACAGTAGAGGGGACACTTAAACTGGATGTTGAAAGACCAATAAGAATTTACCAGGCAGGTAGGCAGAAAAGGATATCCCAGCAGAGAGAACAGGATCCATTTTTCCACAGCCTTTACCAAGGTTGAATTCTGCAACAGTCTGATTATTGGGAACTGGAAACAGAGGCCTCAAGTAAACAACAGAGGCCTCAAGTAAACAACCCTTTTCCACTCACATGCCACAAACACTAGGAGAGCTGGAATTCTCACCGCTAGGGACATGGCAGGGAACTGAAGTAGCCAGCTGTTGGCAAAACATCCAAGGCAATGCCTATAAAGTGTTTAGCACAGTGCCTTGGGTCTAGTGTTCGATAAAGGCTACCTATCATCTCTATATGTCCTATTTCATTCTGAAAATTCTGGTATTATTTTAGATACTATTCCATGATAAGGCTGTATTTGTTTCAACTTAAAAATATTTTAGTCACTTAGAATCAATTTATACAGTGCTATATATCCCCTACAGAAAAATTTACCCAAGTTTAAGGATCACGGATTCTAAGGTAGCCAAATGCAATATACATGCAATAATAGAAGGATCACAGTCGAGGGGTAACAAAGTGACCCCCTCCACCAGGGCTGGTGGGCATTGTCAGAGCAGGCTTCACAAATGTCTTGAAGGATGACTAGGAGTTTGATAGATGAACAGTGGGGGCTAGGTCTGTTTAGTTCAGGGATGGCTGGTGTTTTAACAGCTAACTATTACCATGTTGGGTATGGAAATCAAATATTTGGTTGGCAGGGCCAAAAAAGCCAAACCTACCCCAATCCATTTTGTCTCCTCTTCTTCCCCCCTCTTTACTTCAGATCTCATGGGCATGATACATTGGGTAAATAAGAGCAAGATTAATAATAATAATAATAATAGCAAGATAAGGCTGATTGGTCTTTTTATGTCTCAAACTTAATTAAATTAAAATATATCTCTTTCTTCCATTCACTCATTTAGTCAAACATCCATCAGACCTTTACCAGGTGCCCAGCCCAGGCACTATGTTTACAGAAATAATACAGATAGAACCTCTGCCTTTAAGGAGTTGGCAGATAATTTCAATACAAAGTCGTAAGTGCAGTCATTGAGATGATATACAAAGTATAATGGAAGCACAGAAAAGGCAGTTGCTAACTGCAGTGTCTTGTGCAGGAAGGTTTTCTAGAGGAGAAAGACTGTTGTAGGCAGAAGGAACAGCATGAGCAAAGGCACTGGAGCAGAGGCCATGGCATTTGCATACTTTAACATGGTTGAAACAAAGGTTGCGTGGGGGAGCAACAAGCAAAGAGGCTGGAAGAGGAAACCGGCGCCTGGCAAGAGGAACCTTGCTACCAAGCTAAAGAACTTGAGCTTAATCTTAGGCAACAGGGAGTCATTTAGAAAGATCCTCAGGCAGCCCCGGAGAGCAGCTTTGAAGGGGCAGGACCAGAAAAGCAAGACTCTTGCAGAAAGCCAAGTGAAAATTGTAAAACAAAGAGGCCAGCCCCAAAGAGCCTGCACGCACCCAACAAACCTGAAAGGCAGGTCCCTGGACAGCATTTCCTCTTCTCCTTTCTCAACTCTTGAAGGTCACTTTTTCAAAAAAGCAGCCCTAGCTCTGAACTAATTGCTACCTCCTCTGGGCTCCTACAGCGACTACCTGACCTCTCGTTAGTACATGTATCCATGTACCTAATTATATGCTAAGTGGTGTATGTTTGTCTTGCCCACCCTACCTTGAACTCCTGCTTTTGATTTTTTTCTGATTCCCTAGCATCCTGACCCAGAGACAGGCTTCGTTAGCTTCAATGAGAAATAACCGACTGAATGAATGAATACAATCAGTGAATGAATGGATGAATGCTTGAGGAAGTGAATGTCTGGGCTAGAGGAACTTAATTATACTAAGCATTTTACATATATTACTGTGGTCAATCCCCACAGGATCCTTTGAAGTAGGTATCCTTGCCCCAGTTTTTCAGCAGCCTAAAAAGAGGCTCTGAACATGGAAATGAGCTGCCCAGAGTCACATGGTTCTTAGTGGCAGATTGACTTGTGAACCCAGGTTTCTTTTCTCCTGGACCCTGCCCTCCAGACTATACTTCTTGCATTAACTAATTAGGATACACTATTTAGAAACCTGAATTTTACCAAAAGAATGACCATCTGACTCCCATCAACAGCAAAGTGTAGGTACAAAGATCCAAAGGGTAAAACTCTCTACCCAGTTCCCCTTCTTTCTCTTCCTAAATAATTTAGTCCAAAAGCCCTTAGGGTAGAGCTGAGAACTAGGTCAAGGTTGGCATGGGGTGGGGGAGGGGGTGGCCCAGAGCAGGGAGTCGGAACTAGAGCGAGGTGAGGCGGCTGTCCACACAAGGCCAGATGTGAGTGCAGGCGGAGATCGTGGCACAAGGCTGAGAACCCACTGGGGTGGGTAAGTAGTACGACCACGTGGGAGGCAGCCTGGAGCAAGGCGTCAGAGTCCAAGCAGGATGAGAAGAAGACTGGTGCCATAATTTGTGAGGCCCAGTGCAGAATGAAAATGCAAGTTGCTTGTTCAAAAAAGAATTCCAAGACGGCAATAACATTAAATGAAGCATGGGTTCTTCTAAGCACTGGGCCCAGTGCAACTGCATAGGTCAAATCCCGTGAAGCCAGCCCTGGTGAGGAGAGTATCAATACCGCAGCTGGGGATGGAGGACAGTGGCAACACTGGGAGATAGACTACTAATAATGGGGGTTGGTCAAATAAAAATAAGGTTTACTAAAACAAATGCCAAGTTCCTGTCTATCTCTCAGCTCTTGTGAGTCTGTCATTTTACTCTCTCCTACTCCAGGGTACAAGCTGGATACTGTCAAAATGTGAAAAGAAAACAGGAAGCTGTACAGAATTTGCCTCAGAGCCATCTTCAGTGCCACCTAGTGGCCGTATATGGGAACCACAAGCAGAATCATGGAACTCACCTTCAGGCTGAGACTACAGCCCCACTCCCAAGGTCCAAAGGCAGAGGATCTTCTGAAAAAGAAAGTTCCAATTTCCTCTCCCAAGGTAACAACTCCCAACCCAAGGCAATGTTCACAGCATATAACTAGGTCTCTCTACACAACTTAGAGGGGAGCTGGCCTCTGCTCTGCACAGGCTGCTGATAGACCTACGTTGCGCTAGGTGAGGTGACCCCTAGGACATTTGGGGCCTGGTTATTGTTGCTTCCTTAGGCAGAGATGATGGAGCGTCCTAGTGCACAGGTGTTCAATCTTCACAGAATTAATGCTGAGAATGGCCTACGTTTGTGGGGGTGGCCTAGGGTTAGGATCAGGATTTAGCTTGGAGCCAGAAGCTGAGGGACATAGCTAGCCTCAAGCTGGGGCTGGAGTGAGAGGCTCAGACTCACCACAAACAGACCTTTCCTCCATCCTAATGGAAGTGTCTGTCCTCGACCTGAGCTGTGGCCTGGGGCCCACATGGTGCTACAGAATTCAGCCTCCATGGGCCCCTCCAAGGCGCCTCATTTTTCTGCCCTGCTCTCCTACCCACCTGGAGACTCTGGAGAAGCCAACTTCCCACCTGTCCAAGTGAAGCCCCACACTCTCTACTGCCACATCTCAGTTGTTCAAATCAGCAACGCTAGCTCTTCTGTCAGCACTTACTTCTCTGCCCTTCAACTCCTTTCTAGAAATTTCTAGTCCCCCTTTCTGTCCCACTTCAGGTATCAGGGTTCCAGTTCAATGAGGCACCTCAGGTTGGGTTAGGGGCACCTCTGTCACAGGTCTGACCACCCTGCATATCCTCAGCTGTTTCCAATGTTTGTTTCTGCTCCCGACGAGCCCACTCATAGCTTCTGAATCAGAGGAGCAGTCCCTGAGGTGGATGAATGGCGAGGACAGGCATTTAGGCAGTGGGACAGTGGAATGAGGTCCTTTAGTCTCAGCTGAGAAGAGTTCCCAGGTGCTTAGCACTCATTGATCTGAATGGAATCAGAACAGAGAGTGACAGAGGGCCAGAGGTCTTCCCTTTGCGGTATAATTTAAGGCAAGGGCAAGGAACACAGTTTGAGCGATCTGTAAGGATCTATTCGGGACCTTACAGATGGACAGCAGCCCTTGAGCACATGTGGTAGGCAGCCGTGAGGGGGCTGCAAGGACCCCTGCCTCCTGGTATTCACTTGTCTGTAATCCTTGAGTGACCTGGGCCTCGTGATTTGCATCTAATGATGAGAATGTGGCAAAAGTGGCAAGTGATCACTCCCGAGATTAGGTTATAAAGGACCGTGATTTCTGTCTGTACTCTTCACTGGCTCATCTCGTTTCCTCTCTGGAGCCAGCTGCCATGCTGTGAAATACTCCATGGAAAGGCCCTTATGGCAAGGAACTGAGAGTGGCCTCTGGTCAGGAGCCAGTGAGGAAGTGAAGCCTGCCACCAACCACGCCAATGACCTTCTAAATGGATCCTCCTCGAGTCGCGCCTTGAGATGCTACAGTCTGGCTGACACCTTGGCTGGCCTTGTGAGAGACCCTGATGCAAAGACCCTCAGACACTGTGGATAGTGCTGTCTGAAGCCACTGAGTGTTGGAGTAATTTGTTACGCAGCAATAGATAATTAACACACCATACCAGGCTATGTGGGCCAACGAGCAAGGGGGCAGGAGCTTGGCAGGCAGCCCGACTGGAGCTACAGTCTCCCCAAGTGTCAGGGCAAGATGAAGATGTAGCCCCAGCAAGAACTCAGAAGACGCTTGTTTTTATTTATTTGTTTAGGAATATACAAAAGTCTGACATGGTACAATGATCTCATCAAGAGAAAACAGAACACACAGAGGAAGGGCTGGGTTTCCTCCCTGATGCCATCCTCCCAAAAAGGCACACATATGTGAGGCGTAGGTTTGGGGACCTCCTATCCTAGAACCAGTCTGATACTCAGAAGGCCAGGCTCCTCTGTGAACAGGAAGAGGGGCCCCTTCCTCACACCCACACTTAGGGGTGCGGGTTAAGCAAACCGAGGCCACTGGAAAGTATGGGATTCCGGCCAAGGCCAGGTGGGTGCTGGGTCCACGTCATTGACCCCGAGGAAAACCAGTCACTCCAACCAGAATGTGGCAGCTGGATAATCCAGGAGAGTGTGAATGGGACAGCCCTGTTCCCCAGCACGGGACCACCACCCCCATGGCCTCTCCGGAGGCCAGTCCAGGCTCAGGAGGGACAGCCTGGGGGTGAGGGAAGTGGCAGAGAGGAGAATCAAGCTGGAACCATCCAGGTGCTCATCACTGCACTCTTCAGAATAGGGGCGGCTGTGCCCTTCGGGGCTTCCCCTTGGCAGGAGGGACTAGTCCTGCAGCCAAGTCCAGGGAGCTGGAATAGAGGCGTTTGTCAGAAGCGGCTTGTGCTCCTCATCCTCCAGGGAAAAGAGCAGATCATCTAACCGGCCTGGGTCGCTAACGGCTCCTTCCCCAGTTAACCAGGACCAAGTTGTCTCTGTAGTTTCAGGAAGGGAAGGAGAGGGGTTGGTTGGAAACTATAAAGGCCCAGATATTTAGCCACCACCTAGAACAGGACAAACTGGAAGGGAAAAAGCCTGAAGTATTTGCTCTTTCCTTCCTAAAAAAGACCTACCATTGTAATGGTTTAACAAAATTATTATAATTTCTTTTAAATAACCCACAGACACCCATGACACTTCCAAATTTACAGAACAAAAAGCACTCGAGAACTTGGTAGAAAATGACTTGCAGCGGGTTGCTCCCGGCGGCGGGCCTGAGGGCTGGCTCAGTTCACCTCCAGGACCTCAGTCTCTGGGAGGCCGAACTTGGTCTTGTGCTTGTCGAAGAGCTTCACCAGGGCCTCCATGTACATGGTGTGGTACAGGTCGATGTCCTGCTGGGTCGGGTGCTCCAGCTTGGGAATGGTGATGGGCTCACCCACTGCAGGGACGGGGCAGAGGCCTCTGGTTAGTCAATGCCATTCGGCCCACCCTCCCTGGGTGTTTCCCATGATGTTGCCGGCAGTGACCCTGTGCTACATGCCAGCCATGTGCCAGAAACTGTGCTGAATGTGTTCTGTCTCAGGTTGTCCTTTTTACAGATGAGAAGACTGAGGCCCAGTGGTCAATGCCACAGAGCCACTAAGCAGTGAGTGGAATGAAGACTGGCTGCACCCACCGCGCTCAGCTGGAGGCTCCTATGAGAGCTGTGGAATCAGGGAATGGCTTTGCTTTTGCCCTGCCCTGGGCAAGTCACTTCACTTCTCTGAGCCTCTGTTTCCTCACCTTCCTCAGGGGCCTTTGCTGAGGACTCTGTGAACCCATGACATGGTTTGAGAAGTGTGGTAAGGGCAGGAGACAGAGGAGGAGACCAACATTCATACTTCTGTGCATTGTTTTATTTCCTAATCCTGTTTCATCTCCATACCCAACTCATCATCGGGTCCTGTCAAAGACATTTCTGAAATTTCTCCCAGGTTTCATTCTATCCCCACTGCCATTCCCTTGATCCAAGCCACTGGCTACCACAAAAGCCTCTGGACTGGGTCCTATGACTTCCAATTTTGCCTTTCTAATCCACTTTCTATCCAGCAGCCCCAAGGATCACTTTAAAATGCAATCTGAACCTTCCCTCCCCAAACCCTCATATAGCTTTCTGCTATTAAAGTGAAGAGCAAATTCCTTTACCATGCCCACAGGACCCTGTCCCTGCCCAGCCCCTGAGCATGAAAATGTCTCTGTAGCCTCCAGAAGAGCAGAGCTGGTATGGGATTTGCATATTACGAGAGTCAAGGGTGAGTCTGGGTCATGTGACCTAAAATGCAGGAAGTCAGTCTCTGTCTAAAGTACAACACCTGCTCTGATCATTCAAAGTATCTATGTGAGCTTTGGCCCCTAAGTCCATAGCTTGTGGCCCACATGCTCCTGTGTGATCTCCAGCTTGTGAACCATTAACACACCCCTACAAGAGAGAATTCTTGGGAATCCTCTAAATCAGGGGTGGAGAACCTTTTTCTGCCAAGTACCATTTGGATATTAATAACATTATTCAAGGGCCACACAAAATTATCAACTTAAAAATTAGCCTGCTATATTTGGTCACTTAAAACCTTGCTGACTAGCTATTTCAAGCCAGAACCTGCCTGTGTGGCTGGCTACTTTGGTCAGCAAGTTGTTTAAAGTTACTTAAATTAATGTAAGTGCACACATGAGTTATCTCGTGACCAGTCAGCAATTAACTCACCCCTAATGTGATGGCTGGAACTGCTTCTCTTTGGTAAGGCCTTGGCAGGGCCAGACCAAATGATTTCATAGGCCATATATGGCCCGCAGACTGGACGATCCTTACCCTTGCTCTGAATGGTCCCAAATTAACCCAAAATAACGTAGCTGAGGGCCAAATGCAGCCAGTTTTTTCCTACACTTTTCACAGGACTATCCTCCAGGCATGTTGACGTTTTTCTTTTCATTCCTCAAAAATCTACAGTCTTGCTGCGGAAACTTCACTTAGGCTATTGTTTCTGACAAAAACTCTCTCTCCACACCTCTTTTGCTAGATAATGCCTATTCAGCTAACAGTGTAAGAGTCACCTCCTCCCTGGGGTCTACTATGACCCCCAGAGTATCCTGCACATCCTACTCACACCCTCTATTGATCTTTGTTGTAAACAGGGTCTCCCCTGATAGACTGCTGTGCTCTGCACACACAGAATTGTTGGGTCTTGTTTTGTTACCTAGCACAGCTTGGCTCACAGTAATAAAACTACCCCATCAGGCCACCTCCACCTCCCCCAGTAATTCTCATATGGCAGCACCCAACATGTTCTCATGATTTAGAGCATGGACATCAGAGCCAGGTGACCTGGATTTGAATCCTAACTCCACCACTAACTAGCTGTGGCACCCCAAATTCAAGGTAGGGAGGCTCACCGACAGTGGTGATGGGCTTGGAATAGGGCACCAGCCCCCAGGAGTCAGAGGAGAAGAGGCCTCGGCCATGGAAGATGCACGGGGCGAAGCCAATGTACTTCTGGAACTTCTTCTGCACCCATCGGCCCCAGGAGCCCTCCTCAAAGATCACCTGCTTGTAGACCTCATTCTCTCCAAAGGAGTAGGTGGGAACCAGGTCGGCTCTGTAAGGAAGAAGCCAGGATCTGTCATACCCCAATCACTGGCTTCAGTTCCTCCTGGCAGCCCTAAGGACCCTGGACACCAGCCAAGCTCCCTTCCCCCAGGACTGTACCAGAATCACCCGGGGGATCCCCAATCATGTGCGCCCTCACTGCCTCGTTGAGATGGGCCCTTTGCCCCCCACCCTCCATTAGTGACTGGGGAGCATATTGAGGCTTTGGGACCACTAGGCAAAAGGAAGGTTCAGGGCCCTGCTCTAGGAAGCCTCTCTCTCATCCTCAGGGCCTGCCTCTGCTGAAAAGTTCTCCCTGTCCCACACCCAACCTAGGCCTCTCTCAGTTCTGCATCACAGCCCTCAGCACACTGTGCTGTCCTTGTGTGTCCCTCCCTACTTCCCCCTCCCCAGAGCACAGGGACTGGGTCTGATTGGCTGTGTTCCCAGTGCCTGGCACAGGGCTGGGCCTGAGGAGCAGCCCCTCTGGAGCCTGAGGTAAGGTCCTGAGGGGACAGAGTGGAGGGCTGGGTGGGACCTAAATGGTTAGTGCCATCCCTGACTTGTGTGACTGCAGGCTGCATCCTCTCCCACTCCAGGTATATCACTGCTGGAGGTCTGTCACCCCAAAGCCTTCCTCCTGGGGTTGCCCAGAGACCAGATATGGGAAGAAAACAGTGGACCTAGAGTCCAGAGAGCTTGGCTCTGCATTTTATGGTGTGACCCCTACTGGGTCACTTAGCCTCACTCAGTTTTCTCACATGGAAAATGGGGATGTCATCACCTGCAGGACTGCTGTGGAATCCAAGGGAACTTAGAAGTGAATGTGTTTTGTCCAGTGACATGTGCTGAACAGGTGGCTACACAGAATGTGCCGCTGGCTTTCTAGAAAAGGTCACAGACATCCAAGCTGCCCAGCTCCTCTCCATGTGTCCTTAGCTTCACCCCACCAGGAAGCTTTCCCCACTGTCTCCCCTGCCATGCCATCCTCATTACTGGCCTGCTCTGCTAGCAGCATGACACATTTTTGGCCCAGGGCATTGTCCTACACATGAGCCTGGCCTCTCAGCCCATCTGCAAAGGCTCAAGGGATACAGGCTGCCCCACCTTTGCCTCACTCAGACAAACAACCTGAACCTCTGGGCTCCACCCTCCCCTCCCTCCCACAGGATAGTGAACTCTCTTCTGTGCCTTCCTGGCATATGGGCCCTGCCTCCAGGAGCCAAGGAGCTGCTGCCCTGGGCCAAACAAAGCTTTGGAGGAGTGCGCGTGCGTGTGCATGGAGACACTTACCCGTGTCGCAGGGCCAGTTTCACAAAGCCCTTGCGGTTGCGCAGGGTGACGGCATTCTTGCCAGGCATGGAGCTCAGGGACTCAGCGGCACCCCCAACTACGATGATGATGGCATTGCCACTCCCATTCTTTGATAGCAAGTAGTCTATGGTGTCTCGGTTCACGGGGCAGATACCTGGGAGGAAGGAGGGGACACACAGTCAGGGCTGCCCATGGATGCAGTGCCTACCCCCCAACCCTCACAGTCATGTATAAACAGAAAGAGCCCTGCACTTGGGCCCCAGACCTAACCCAGCCACACAGAAGTTTCATGGCCCTATGTAAGCTATTCTTTTTCTGAGCCTTGGCTTATCTGTAAAATGGGGATAACGATACAAGGTTGTTTAGGCAACTTATTCATTTGGCAAATACTGCCTGAGGTCTTAACTCTGCCAGGCTGGTGCCAGGAGCTGGGAAGTCCAGTGAATCAGGCTGCTGTGGGTCACAGGGGGGAAAATGACAGAGCCATGGACAACAATCAGGTTGTGCAGAGGGTAGCACAGGGACTGGGGTACCCAGAAAAGAGGCCAGAGAAGGCTTCCTAGGGTAGATGTTATCAGAGTTGAATCTTGAAGACCTTATGCACAGCTCTCCTGCTCAACCCTGACCTGCCGTGCCTGCAGCAGGCTGCATCTCTCAGCCAAGGACCAGTGTGGTGTATTGGCTTCCTAGCCAATCTGTCCCCTGGCTCAGTGGAGAGGCTCAGGCCTTGACAGTGGGGCCCAGTAAGGGTGCGCAGCGATGGAGTCTCACCTCCAGACATCAGGTACTCCCTCAGCACCGGCATCCGGAAGTTGCCCGCCAGCGTGGCCAGGTAGGGCCTTATGCCGGGAAACTTCTTGCTCACTTCCGTGGCCTCTGTGCTGAAGTTGCAGAAGGCACCCAGGCCCATGATGCCATGGGGGTGGTAGCCAAAGATGTAGTTCCTGGTGGTTAGCAGGTTGTGAGTCTTCACCAGCTGCAGGGAAAACCTCAGGTGAGAGGGAATTGGCCAGGGGAGGGGTCCTGGGCACACCCAGAAGGCAGAGAGACTGGGTTTGCCATACCCCCTGAGACTCTGGGCCTCAAGAACTGGAATGACTCTCCACACCTGATCTCAGACTTCCATCTGGGGCCACAGTGCCAGGTGCTCGTCAATTGCCATTTGGACCACAAGTCCCTGGGAGGGGTGGGAAACTTTCTCCCTCTATCTCCATCTTCTCCAGCCAAACATACCAGGTCCCTTATTCGCACTCTGCTAGCCTCCTTCCTCCCCTCCCTCTGCACCCATCCTCCTCACCACAGCCAGAGTGACTATTCTAAAACCCAGTATCATCCCTGAAACTCTCCAGTTCCCATTGGGGTCAAGTCCAAGTCCCTTAGTTTGGCCAGAGAAGAGACAGTGCGGCCAGCCTGAATGGAAACTTCCTTTCAGGCAGCCAGGGTCTGCTTGGGCTCTGATGCTGGCGGCACAAGGGCAAGCA